AAGAATATGTTTGTGAAGTTAAGCAGTAACGGTCCATGATAGATGTAGAGCATAATAAATTAAACAATTCAAATATTGATTATTTATTCTTCAGATTTATTAGTTAAACACAGCACTATATTAAACAATGCTAATTATTACAATTTAAATTATAAGTATTAATCAAAGTCTCATTATCTACATATCCCCTAACACCCTGACTGAAATATTCGCAAGTTGTGCAAACCCCTGGTGGTTCTCAAACCTTCTCAGATTGATCGAGTCCAACAGTTTAAACCACTCAAAATGTCGCAGTTCCACAGGTGCCTTAGCCTTAGTTGGTTAAGTCGGCAACCGGCTCAGCCCTACGATAATAGGGGTTGCAATGTAATGGTGAGAAAATATTACCCATCAGATGCCCGGTAATGGTATGATTTTCATTGTTTCTCTCACTTTAGAAATTTCAGGTGAGCCTGAAACATAAGGTTTCAATGTTTCAGTACTGTATCATTATCAAATGTGAGAGGGAAGTTTGAAAAATGTCTTGGCCGTTTTTGGTCGGGTTTGATTGATAAAGAAGTAAGACAATTCACACATGTCCCATCAATTTTTACAAAAACTTCGCAGTCCAAATTTTGAATCACGTGGTCTCCGTTTATAGCCGGCGGTTAGGACTAGGGATGTAAATGAGTCTATCGTTACAAGCATCTTCTATTGTACTTACTTTGTATGACGGCATCGTCACAGAGGCACAGTGAGTGACCGTATTGTCATATAAGGGATGGACTGTTCAACACGGTAGCTGAAGTTGCTGAACCACGGGTCAACGTCACTGGACTGTTCAGAATCACGAAAGTTGTTTACCGCAAGTTGTACAGGAGTCACGATTCATAAGATTTTTAAAAATGAATTAATGTATAGATTTAGTTGCAAATTTGCAAGTATCAATTAAGTTCAACGATTTTTTTTAGGCCTACTTGAAATTCCGTGAACCAGCAAATGCCGTATTAGTCTCCGAGTATACTGCACTTGCGCAGATATATAGGCCTACTCTATGCTGTGGTAGTGATTTTTTCCCTGTAAAATGGAATGTGTTAAGGTTCATGAAATGTTTCTCTAAAATGGGAATGTGTTTCAAGGTTCATTTCAGTTCATTTCATTTGACAGGCATGCCAAGTACTATGTGAATGTAGTGTTTTCAGGGAGTTGGTAATTGGTCCTACGTCTTGACAGTTGACCAATGACTGATAGCGCCTTGTCCGATAATGGAATGTTTATTTTGACCTAGTTTCTGCAGTATACTCATGTCCCTATTAAGAGCTTATTTTTTAGGTTTCCCACATTTTAAGACAATTGGCCTTTTAACATTTTACACCTGTTCAGTAGTGTTCAGCTTGAGCATGGAGGTATAGGAGGTATTATAGTACTATAATATCTCTATGACTTGAGTAAAGCCTTGTTCCATAAAATCGCTCCACGCTATCGCTGACAACTTTTGGGGATGCTGATTGGTCGGTTGAACCAAGAAGCCATCCCAATGCATCGGAGACAGCTACGCAGTTTAACAATTACTGGCAAAGCACTGTAGCACATTTCAGAATCACGAAAGTTGTTTACCGCAAGTTGTACAGGAGTCACGATTCATAAGATTTTTAAAAATGAATTAATGTATAGATTTAGTTGCAAATTTGCAAGTATCAATTAAGTTCAACGATTTTTTTTAGGCCTACTTGAAATTCCGTGAACCAGCAAATGCCGTATTAGTCTCCGAGTATACTGCACTTGCGCAGATATATAGGCCTACTCTATGCTGTGGTAGTGATTTTTTCCCTGTAAAATGGAATGTGTTAAGGTTCATGAAATGTTTCTCTAAAATGGGAATGTGTTTCAAGGTTCATTTCAGTTCATTTCATTTGACAGGCATGCCAAGTACTATGTGAATGTAGTGTTTTCAGGGAGTTGGTAATTGGTCCCACGTCTTGACAGTTGACCAATGACTGATAGCACCTTGTCCGATAATGGAATGTTTATTTTGACCTAGTTTCTGCAGTATACTCATGTTCCTATTAGGAGCCTATTTTTAAGGTTTCCCACATTTCAAGACAATTGGCCTTTTAACATTTTACACCTTTTTTAGTAGTGTTCAGCTTGAGTATGGAGGTATAGGAGGTATTATAGTACTATAATATCTCTATGACTTGAGTAAAGCCTTGCTTGTTCCATAAAATCGAAACATGCTATCGCTGACAACTTTTGGCGATGCTGATTGGTCGGTTGAATCAAGAAGCCATCCCAATACATCGGAGACAGCTACGCAGTTTAACAATTACTGGCAAAGCATTGTAGCACATTTATGAGAATTAGGTATTGACACTTATTATTGTATACAACCCCTGGGCCAAATATGAAAATCAGTAAAAATTAAAAAAGATGGATCGCACACAAATGTAATCCTTTGGTACAAAATCATTTATTGAATTCAAGAGGTACACATAAAACAGCAGGGGTATAATTATCTACGCCAATATAGTTCTTAAGTAAAATCTATATAGAGCACATCAGAGGACACCTCTCCCAAATAAAGTCTATAGATGCACATGAAAATAATACAAGCACAGCCATTCTACAATACATCAACTCATCAACTATTGGCTGCAGGAGAATCATCGCTCATTAATATTCATGATTTATTATAATAAAATATCAGCAAAACAAAATTATATTTCTTATTAAAACTGATCAATATACAGCAAATACTGATCAATCCATGTCAATGTGAATCAATACTGATCGATCCATAGCTATACTGATCAGCAGAACATCTTTGCTTAACACATATAAATATATATTATTGACAATGATCAGTACAAATCAATTTTAATCTTTGTATATTGATATTGAATAATGTTTATAAATACTGATCAACTTGATCAATAATGATCAATGTCAATAAATATTGATCAATGTCAATTATTGATTATCAATGTTTATTAATAGTTATCAATGTCATATAAATGTTTATAAATAATGATCAATGTCAATAAACAGTGTTAAATGTCAAGCGTGATCAATGTCAATGATTAGTGATCCATGTTTATCTATAGTCATCAACAATTATCAATGTTGACCAATGTTTATCAAAAGTGATCAATATTTATAGTCATTATTTTATCTATTGATTCTCATCAGTGTTTATCAACAGTGATCAAAGTTTGGCAATAATGATTAATAGTGATCAATACAATCCTCATAAATAACAGAAATTGAGACACTGCCACAATTTTATATGACAAATATTTAAATCTTATTTTCCTTAATTCTGTGTTTCTTTGCAAAATTCAGAATATTCAATAGTAATGTCATGATTTGTAATTCAATCAATTTTATTTGTCTGGTAACTTTTCAAACATTCAGACAAAAACAATTTTTATGACAATAGATTATTCTGTTAAAAATAGCAAAAACCAAACTATTTGGCAGCAATGTGAATATCTTTATATCTTTCCAGTCAATTACATTTTAGAAGAAGTTAACCACATCTTTACCATTTGGTGGTGCTATCAACTAGACCATGTGGACTGGTACACTCCCATGAATTTTCTTATCAGGATAAATTATTCTCAATGTACTACATATTGTAGAATTAATTTATAAAATCACAATCTGAAAACATGTTATATTGCTTCTGCATTTAGGTTTCGATAATAATACTATTCATGTAATCAGTCATACTGTCCAGAACATAATAAATTCCAGCTAATACCGCATCTTGCACGGATCAATCTATCAATATTTAAGAGTAAAATATAATGAAATGCAGTTATAAGATGTTTGATATGGGATTAGATGCTCCTTCTTGTTAAAGCTTACACTTGTCAATGTGTTAACATATTCCACACATTATCTTACGACCAAATCTATGCCAAAAAAATAGCAACGTCTCTACGACGACATTGCCAATAAATTATACAGTATTTAACATGTACATACAAATGCAAATATTACAGCTAAAATGTACATTAAAAACGTTAAATTGGGAGATTTAAGAGATTTGTACAATATACACGATTTTTTTAAGATAGACATTTTTTAAAAAATGCTCATTAAAATCATGCTGTAGACAGATGTCGCTTATATGACATTTATCGGCTTTACTCAATTATTTGGATAACATTAAATTAAAAATTAAGACAAACATAATGAACACTAAAAGAGTCGGTGGATGATAAAACTAATTTAAATTACAAATTAAAAACACACATAGAAAATCAAAATGTTGATGAGTTACAAAGCGGAGGTGAGGTTGAGTAGATGATGAGCTAACTGATAATTCAAAATAGTCCTTTTTGTAGTTTTTTACAATGCACAAGTATTACAAGATCATTTAGTCCAAATATTAACAATGCGACCAGACTATTGGTTGATATTTGGTGAGAAGGATGTTAAAGACACAAAATACGAAACCATGGAGGTATTATCATAATGGCTTCTTGAACTACTCTCAATAATATAAGAACACAAGATTAAAATCTATAAATCATGATATTTTCTTCCTTTAAACCAGCCAATCACGGCTTCATATACACATTCATTTTATAAGCTTAATATTCAAAATATGAAATGCCATATAGCTTTAGATTCATGGCAATCACACAGCTCCTCAGCCATCATTAAACATTTGATGAGGGAGAATAGAGAACGATTCTGATTAGTCAATTTGAGTCACATGGTTTGAGCCAACAAGTATTTTACCGGTAAAAATATCAGAAGCAACCTGAAATCTTTAATATCACCACTTACATCTTGTTATATCACAATAGGTTTGGTTATTTATTTTGCCTATCCATAACTTGACTAAATTGGACAAGAACATAATTGATGTTCAAAATCGGTGGAAATTACAAGCTGCCAATAGCACAAACTGCTTTCTTTAATTATTCTACAAGTTGGATCTTTAGAAAATTCAAATATATCAAAGACATTAATTTTAGTGATAAATACAAAATGTTCAGCGAGGCACAAGAGGGCGATTTTTTTTTTCTAGTGGAAGATTGGTTTGCACTCAAAACATCACTTGTTGAAGACAATACCACATCATCAAAATAACACAGGGCGCTCTACAGTATGTACATTTACACTTATATTAAAACTAACTATGTTATAATGCACCACAATGTACAATAGACATGATTATTTATGTGCCATATATTTCTCTTAAGGCTTAACAGTCCTTGAGTTTGCCTTAAAACATCAAAATATTGTTTGTCAACATATCACAAAATGATTAAAATTGTTATTGGGTAGCTTGTTTATAACAAGAGTTTTTAGACTCAATCTTTGATGAAAATAATCCAAATCAAAAAGTTAAAATACCTACTACAGTAAATAAAAACATACTTCATCTACACAATTTAAAACAACAAAGGGTCTCCTCTATACGAAGAACATTGTGTGTAGAAGGGATCAATTTTATGGTGGAATCTCTCACAAAATGTTGAAATTAGGCAAATATCAGTCCTGATATACTTGTACTGTAATTGTACATTATGCATACAGTATCATCATTGAGCTTCTCAAGTATTTGTTACAAGGCACCCAGCTTTATGGAAACCTCATAGCATAGAGCAAAAGCTCACATCAAATTATCAGCATAGATATACAATCCATATATTAAAATCCCATTTGATTATAGTCCCTGTGTGTGTACCTATTAATACTGATTTAAATAATACTCTCACAGAGCTATAGATGCTTCAAGCATTATACTCTACTGTACAATCTATAGAAAGCAAATTGCAGTCTGGATAAGTATTTATTCCAGGATAAGTAATCATCTATTTCTGAAAAGTGTATTTAATCCAGAAATAGGTAATCATGTACTTCTGGAGTAAGTACTTAGTTCAGGAATAAGTGAGAATCAATTTCCAGAATAATTAGTGCATGAATAAGTACTTAGTGTTAGAATAAGTACCTATTCTTTGAATATGTATCTATTCCAGGAAAATGTAGCTGCTTTGTACACCTGGAACATTATTTTTTCATGCCTGGAATAAGTATTTATTCTGGACGTTAATACATGTAGGTCTTACTTAAAATTAGAATACTCTAACATGAACTGTAATTGATCTAGCACTGGCTGGTTCAGAACTGACCCATCCCAATTTAAAACCTCAAATTATGTCCCATTTTTTCAGTTGTGAGACAATCTTTGTCTAAAAGCAGGGACAAATACCTGGTTTTTCATACAATTAAGAAATAAATCTTGAAGCACAAATATTTTTCATCAGTTTCTAAATAAGGTAGTGGTTATTCTTACACCAGTCTTACACAAATTCTTAATCCTGACTGGATGTTATTGTTCTAATCATACAATAACATCAAACCAGAATTAGGAATTGGTTTAAGACTGGTGTAACAATAGCCACTGCCTTTAATAATTCCCATATGACAAACCCTACAGTATACAGCCACAATGCCTGTAAATATCTACCTTAATTTCCAAACTTTAAACCACAATATCTCTATTTACAGTTAACCTTTACACATTAAAATAAAAAAGAGAAGAGATATGTTACTAAATTTTTCACGCAACCTTATCTATTTATATGCATCTAATTGTCCACGTTGGCGAGTGACGTTTGAAAAATGTCATCTTCAACGTCACTTATTCACATAGGGCACAAAGCAAGATTTTAAATGTATTCTTGGATGTATTTTCAAGGCTAAATCAACAAAAGATATAACATTGGTATTTTTTCATACACATTACACAATTTTACCATAATCATTATTACCTTTTAAATTTTAAAAATTCTCATTTACGGATATTTTTTTTTCTCTGAAAATTTCCTGATTCTGGCATTTATAATTGAGTATTGGAAGTAGACTTTGAAGTTTCTTTCCTCTCACAGGGAGCAGCAGCATTGTACAAGTCTATCAAAATGTGGATAACAACGTCCTCCCACATTGACAATGGTTAATTTCAGTTATTTGATTCAGCTTATGTCCTTGGGGTGAGGGGCAGGGGCAGGATTCAGGGCTTATTGCATATCTAGGTGCACTGTATCCTCAGCTGTTGCACTACTATACATCTATGCTGGTAGTGCAAAAAAATCCCTGCAGGTACTACAATGGTTCCCCCACAAGAGTTGAAATTTACCTTGTAGGTACTTCAGTAAATCTCTACAGGGGTTACAATTCACCCCTGTAAGTGCTTCAATATATCCCTACAGGGGTTACAATTCACCCCTGAAGGTACTGCAATACTTCCCTACAGGAGTAACAATTTATCCCTGCAAGTACTACAATACATTCCCACATGGGTTGCAAAACACACCTGCAGGTACTGCAATACATCCCTACAAGAGTTGCATTACACTATGTAATCATGCTCAAAATCATGGAACCCCACCGGCCCATTCCCATGCCATCTTTTGTTGAATGCCTTAATAGTACCATTAGTTATTAATTTATCTTATATTATTTTTTTAAACAATTTGAGTTTCTATCAAAAGTTTCAGGGCTCATGTTCAATGACTACGGAAGAGACGTGAAAATGAGATTGAGCAAAGTAACAGTGATAAGGTTGACGTGACATGGGATGAGCGCCCTCCTGGTGGTGGATATCTTGTAGGCCTGTATTTTGGATCACTGTCAATGGTGGTGCTTGTGAATACATGGTCAACGACATCTGTTGGTATGTCCCCTGATCCAGACCCACTACCACTGCCACTGCCTCCATAATCCTCATCTGTGCAGAAACAAAAATAGGCAAATTATTGAGGATGTGAATAGAAATTTTGGGTAGGAAAACCCCTAAAAAGAATAATAGATTTATCGATAAATATCCTCATCTCTAAAGAAACAAAAGGGAGGCAAGTGATTAGAGGATGATTATGGACAAACCTATAATATTTCAAAACAGGACATCCCTTGAAAATAAACACAAATATCCATAATCATCCTGATCTGTAAAATAGACAAATTATTAAGGATGTTTATGGATAATTCCATTATTTTTCAAGGGGTCTTCAGTCTTGAGATTATATAAATATTGAATTAATTGCAAAGACATAAAGAGTAGTGAATGATTAGCTAATAGGCAAAAGCTTCATCAAAGAAAGTAGCTGTAACAACAATGATAATGACATGGATAAAAACAACAATAATAATAACACAAATACTCTATTTAATCAGGTAACTATTCATGACTCACAATTAACAATTAATAATTTTTTTTCCAGTTGTAACTTATCCCGATAAGCCTGCAGCTGTGCTATACACTTTATAATAATGTTGGAAAATTAGAGAAGAGTTGTGTTAATGGCGAGTGTTTGTATACACTGCAGTTTCCCATGTACAGTATGCCTACCTGCCTACATACTGTAGCTCAGGTGTCTAGATAGTAGTGTCAAAGGCCTACAATTCTCAGAGAATTATTTTAGTTTAAAGTGATTTTTATTAGTTTGTATTTTCTTGAAAAAACAAAAGGCAAATAAATAGAAAATGAAGGAAAGAAAGTGTAATCAGTGTAATTAGTTCAAAGGTCATCATTATTGCCATCACCGTCGTCATCATCCTTAAGCTTCAATTCACTCTCACTTTAAAATGACATTTTTTTTTCAATATCATCTACTTATTTTGTAAAATTTATATCATATAATATTTGATTTTTAAAAATTATTTGTTATCACAAAACAAAACCAGTAAATGTCAATTATAAATCTACTAAAGTGTGTTGTTGATTTATAGAATTGCAAAACTGCTTAACAAATTACAATTCAGCAGACATCATTCTTTCAACAGATGAAACGATAACAAGACCGTCCTCCTATAATCCACATAACACACAACATTATTAGATATTGGATCAATTTCTTTCACTCACTGGTTAAAACATTGCAAATCATATGTATTCATAGTCAATATCCAGCATAATGTATATTATATTACACATTTTAAAGAGCTGCCACATTAAAAGTAACTTATAACTACATCAGCATGTAGCAAAGATTCATGTGATTAAAATAACAGACTATGGTTTCTGGTGGATAAAAATATTAAATTAAGTTATGTGATAACAACAACATGATGTAGGCAAGATGCGCTGGTTAAAATAAGACTATAGTTTAGTAAAACATTTAAGTATAACAACCTAGATTATTTCAAAACAAAAACAAATACTAATATTAATTAAGAAATGGCACACAAATAGATTATTTCTAAATACTTTTGAACTGATGATAAAATGATGATGATCATTGTAAAGTTGAACTTATTAAAAGTAAAATATTTCTAATTGCAATTATGATGACTGCAGATGAAATCAATGATTGTCTGATGAATGAAACATGGTGTGTTCAGAGGCCAGTTCCCCTATACTATGTGGCTGAAGTAATACATGCTTTGCACCACATGATTTTGTTGTTGGGAAAGACCTTAACCAGCTGAGCGAAGAAGTGGTAGTGAAGATGTAGCTCGGTGGTTAAGATGCACCACATGATTTTGTTGTTGGGAAAGACCTTAACCAGCTGAGCGAAGAAGTGGTAGTGAAGATGTAGCTCGGTGGTTAAGATTCTTGCCTTTCTCCACAGGGAGAACGCAGGCTCAACGGATAGTGTTTGATGAGATCTGTTAATACTGCCACTGACAATAAGTAAACGATGTTGCAGAGCTGAGTTGGGTTCGTCGACCAATGGTCAAATGACGCAGCGAGTTTCTGGCTTTAGTTTGTAAAGCATCACATTATATTATCTGACCTTCTAGTATACGTTATAAATATAGTAAAATGTTGATAGGTAACATATTGCATGTACCAAACTTACCATCTGTATCTATAAATATTGTATTTTTTCCGTTATAAGCGTTATTAAGTTGAGCTGTTACTGCTTTGAGCAGGGCCTGATATTCCATGGTGGCAGCCCTCTTGCTTGTGCTAACCATATCCACTTCAGGATTGCCAATTTGGTACTCAAGACCACTGTTTACTATTTCAGTGTTGTAACTGTTGATTTAAAAAAAAAATGTTTTCAATGTTCAATTATGCACAATGAAATAACAAATGCTTGTCCCACCCTTCCAGTAATGACTACCTAGGCCTCCTGTCAATGTACAAAAGTAAAACAAATGGTGGGGGGCAAGGGGGGAAAAACAATAAATTTCTGTTTGGATTTAGAAATTTTGATTTATTTCATTTAATAACATCTTTAGCCAGGATGACAATCATTTGTAAACATTTTTTTCACTGTGGTCCTGGAAAATGGTAAACTTGTTCTTTTCAATAACAACAACCTCTCATACTTAAACCGTCACAATGTTTTTACAGTGCACCACGAATCCAAGTTGTATTTTTATGAAAAGTATACAAGAAAGAAGTATAGTAGACAGGAGATTGTGTAACAGTAGGCTATTTTCTATAGGACAAATAAAAGATTAATTTTTGATAACACATACATTCCAATTTCAACACCTGTCCAGCAGTTCTCATTTGATGTCTCCGATGCATATCCATCATCGCTACACATCATATAAGGTAGATTTGTCCAGAAATCTCGTGAATTTGACAGCATCTTGTCGCTTTCCACAATATAAGTATTAAGTGTTGGAATGGATCCAGCAGATGTCTGTGGTCCGTTAGCTTGAGGGCGGTATTTACTCCAATCTCCTTGCCTCGATTTTTTCTTTTTCCCGTCAGCTGAACGCTTACTAATGTGCTGGCCACATTCTTCCAAAACCTGCAAGATAAATTTGTGCTTTCTGTTTAAATTTGGTTTTTTTTGTCATAATCAAATATTAATAAATTAATTTCTAAATGATAATTGAATGATTAAAATAATTACATCATGCTACATTTGTTAATGTATTAATAACAATTAAACAAAAATTATATTCATCGTCACCACCATAGGATATAATTAAAAAAGTTTGATCAAACAGTATTTAAATGGGACAGACAAAATTCTTAAACCCTGTCCAGACTATCATATTTTATTTGACAAAAAAAATGCAACATGCCTAAATATGGTCAAGATGACATCACATCATGACCATATATAGGCACATCAACAACAAAACTATCAAACACACTGGATAAACTAATGTAAAACTCATCCTTCTAGACTGAGGGGTTTCTCGTAATACCCATTACAGCCCAACATCTTCCACACATGTCTTGCAATACATACAATATTAAATATTTTATTTCTTTTGAAACGCTAGATGCATATATTCTGAAATATTAGATTGGAATGTCGATGATTCTCACATCTACTTAACCACATGATAAACAATCGCATTAATATATTATTATGTATAGATGAAAAAAAACAGCCATTCTGCATACCTATACCCAGTTCAACATTTATTAGTATTCCAGTCATGTTGCCGAAAATTGATGACTATCATTACACAGGACTGCTCTGCATCAAATTGGTATTTTTGTGAACTGATACGGTTCGCGGGGGCTAATATATTACATTCTACATGTCGGGTTAAGGCAGCCAACGCAATTGATCACATCATACTGGCCCTAAAGCACTGTCCAAATCATTACATTTTCATTGACAAAAAATCTCCTATATGCCCATAGTCATGTTGTGGCTATATATGGTCATGATGTGATGTCATCATGACCATATTTAGAAATGTTGCATGTTTTTGTCAGATAAAATTTGAAAGTCTGGACAGGTGCTTTATATTATTTTTAACATGCACGAATATAAAGATGTCACATAGTAGCACCAATCACAGTATGTGTAGCTTATTATGTTTATATTCTTAACAGGGATTGGATGATAAATACCGTATGGGCTCATAAACGTTATGATGCGAGCATGTGGGATGTTTACTTTAAAACAGAACTGTTTCAGAAGAAATCACAGAGATACTTTAGTTGGTAAAGCAGTAATCACATATTTTCATTTAAAAATGTATGTAAATATACAGTATATCAATATATTATATACTGTATGTAGTACATATATGAATTATGTACATCATGTACCTTTATAAAGACCTAAAAGGTTTGAAATATTGGTACAGTATTAGAAGAACTCAGCGATAATGTCAATCATACTACATTATATAAGGAAAGGCTAGTTTATTGCTATTACCTAATCATAATGTTAATTACATTCTACCTTCTCCAAAATTTGTATATATATCTGGATAAGAATCAATATTCTACAAATCTTGAGGCTGAGGTTAATTCGCAAACACAACCAAGTGATTTTATTTTATATAATTTTTAACCCATCACTGACTTTATGCCTACAGGATGTGAATCAGCTCAAGTTATATAAATTTACCTACAGACCTGGGAAAAAGAGTGTGCCTCTGACCAGAAACACTTTCTTTAGAAATGCCTCCAGCACCTGAACATTAAATAGCCTAACAATAAATGCTTAAAACAAAAACAAAAAACAAAAAAAAAAATAATTTGTTTCGCCTTCATGGAAATGTGCAGTGGCTTTGGCTACCGGTACCACACACTTTTATTTTAGATTAAATTCTTGTCCAACATCGAGTGACTCACTGCTAGCAGGATAGCAATTAACTATATAAGCCTACATATAGCATCTGTCATAAAATATGGAAAACCCTCAAGATTTCAATTAAAATATAGAATTGCTGATTTAAAGAGATCAATTACTGTATGTGATCAATTCCAACGAGATACAAATCAAAGCACATCAGATTTCAAACACTATATGACTCGCTGCTAACAGAATTAAAATCATGTTATTTAAAATACAGTATGTAAGTAAAAAAATATTGTTTAATTTCAAAATGTTGGTGTTTTTTAGGATACGAACCAAAGAACTCATGTCATGCACTACTAAACCACTTTAATAACTTCAAACCATTATATTACTAATGGAATGATTGATAAAAGTTCATGGGTAATTAATTCAAATATTTTAAATTATAAATTGGTAATTAATATCCAGTTTATTACAATAACATATAAAATTGCAGCAGTTATCATGGTACAGAAAAATAAATGGTAAAATGTACATTGTAACCATAAATAAGAGGTTTCATTTTTTTTAACGTGAACCAATTTCACTTTCAAGACATGGGTAAAGATGATTGCAAATGACACGATTCATAAATAGAATAACATAAAGAGTGTGCATTGGTCATTTGATTTGTGAATATAAAGCAGAAACTAAAAGTCGGAAACACAAGCGTGTATCCTTTAAGTAACGAGGAAATGTCATGGACACTATGAGAGTGGTTATCCTATTTATTATCTGGTTTGTCTAGTTCACTGGCATAGGTAATGGACTTGTGTGTTTAACAAAATGGATAATAACCCATCACTGTGGGAAAAACTTGTGTAGACTGATGCATTAAAGGAAAAAGTTTATGGATGATGTTGGAGGTGAAGGTGACGGTGCTGCTGCTGCTGATGCTGATGATGATGATGATGATGCTACTGATGCTGCTGTTGCTGATGATGATGATGCTGCTGATGATGATGATCGTATTTCAATGCTAATAATGACAAGGATGAACATGAGGATAATGAACTAGATATGATGATAATGAAGATGACAGATATGAAGATAATGAAGATGACAGTAATGATGATAATGACAGTGATGATGATGCTGATGATAATGAAGACAAGGATTAACATGATGATAATTAACTAGATGATATGATGATAATATAGATAATGAAGATGACAGTGATGAAAATAATGAAGATGACAGTGATGATGATGAGTGATGATGATAATGACAGTGATGATAATGAAGATGACAATGACAGTGATGATATTAATGATGATGAACATCACGATGATGAAGACGATGACAGAGATGATGAGGATAAAGATGACAGTCATGATAAAGATGTTCAACTAACGATAATATTAATGATGCTAAATTTGCATAATGCCATTTAAAAATTACAATTGTACGAACCAAAAACGAGGGTGCCTTTGAACTAATTCTTGAATTACCTACAAGTGGCTCGCTGTCACTCTCAAGGGGATAATATTCTAAAAACTGAGATCAGAGACTTCAATCTCCACTTTAGATACTTGGCCACTAAGTATATCATTTGCATCTTTCTTTCTAATGTCTTTTAAATTAAACATCATGCGTTACTATACTGTACTATATAAGAGGAAACCACTTAAAAGGCAGAACCAACAGTCAATAAATGTTTAATATAGAAGGGATTAAGGAAGGAGGGATTAAAGAAGAGAGATTAATGAGAAGGAAATAATGAGGAAGGAATTATGAATGAATTTAGAAGTAAAAAAAATATGTATTAATATTATGATAAAAAGGGCAACACAAAAATATGTACTATATTGGTTTATAAAAATGGTCACTTAAAAATGTGTGTTGTGAAAAAAATATTAGGCGATTATCGACTTCAATATTTTTCTTCATAAATTAAATACGAATTAATCAAATAATATACAATAAATTTATATAATATAATATAAATATATAGAGCATAACAATTTGAAATTTCGAATCTTGATTATTAAACTATTACTATTAATATTGTCATTGTATATGTTATTATTATATATTATTATATAAATATATGTATGTGTCATAATTGACTACACAATACATACATTGATAGATTAATGTATTTGATATCTAGTACATTTGAAATATATCGAGTAACAAAGCACCAGGTGAGTCATAACATGACATAAGTTAGAAACACCAGTGATACAATAATCATGCTGTTTGGTAAGTGTGGATTACGTGCCGATATTGATGTGCTAGAATGTGATCTGGTCAATAATCAGTGGGTCAGTAGCTTTGCCGGCAAATCTCTCGTGATATTTCACAAGTTGTCTCAAAGATGTTCTCAATGAGTTGCGCTTCAATTCAATCATTGTCCATAATCTGCATGTTTGCAAAGTAATGTGACAGAGACGTGGAAATTTCTACAAATAAAATTTATATGTTTCCTATAATACTGATAGTTCTTCTTTTCTTAGCTATACCACTCTGAAGATTTTGCACTTTAATTTACTCACAAGTTACACAAAATGAAACAAGTTTCTTTTCTTTGAAAAGAAAATCAGTTACTGTAGGCTGATATAACAATACTGCCTGATATGTTTGTTTCATACCATAATTACTGTATATTTAAATAATTTTATAAATGATTTGTACTTTTATAGTTTATGTAACTTTATTATGTTTACACACTGATTGATTTTTTAATGAGAATAAAAATAAATTAGAAATTAAAAAAAAAACATCAGGCTAACATGTGTAGCACCCTCTATCTGCTGGCTCGAAACCAATTATTTTCATTCATGATTTTTATGAAAATCATAATTATCATCCTACTCATCATCATCATCTTGTTTTCTCTGCTCTCCTCCATCCTTTCCATAATTTTTATCTACATCATATTTTGGAAGGGTTATCATTCTCCTCAAGTTGTCACAGATATTGGAAACATGAACATATTTTCCAACTACCAATATTGATTCTGCTGCACTTAATCCCTTCAGAATCATGCCATATCCATGATTAATCCATCAAAGTAAAGACCAATCAGTATCACGCTAATAGGCCTTTTTGGTTAAGAAATTAATATTTTCATATAAATTCAATTTAAAGTTAAATGCAAATAGAATGTTATCTTACTTAACATCCGTTAAATAGATAAATAAATGGAATAATCTAATAAAATAATGCAAATCTTTATTGAATAAGAATACCGATATAACTAGTATGTGGAG